AGGGCCCGTTATCGTTCAACACTGCAGCAGAAGCTAGAAGACCTGACCCAGACCAACGACTCATAGCAATGAACACTTACAAGTAAAGATGGATGGACTGAAAGGTACACTGTGTGACTCAATGGGCCATACTACAGCTTCCACACTGAGAATTATTTGTTTGTTTGGTATTTGGTTGTTCTTTTAAACTTTGTTTTGTTTTGGGGGGAGATTGCAAGGGCAGAGGGCTGATATAAGGGGACTTGGAGATGAATGGGATCAGGATGAATAATGTGAAATCCACTAACCAACCAAACAAAAAACCAATTTGCGTTGCCCATGTACTCACTGGAGCATGGTCAAACCCCAGTGCCAGCCTCTTAAAGAAAACTAAGTTCTTCCCCTCCCACACCCCTGCCAGAAGCCATCAACAGTGAAGAGCTACACTTCATCATCTATCACAATGCCTTTCCAACATAACGTTTTTATTGATTATTTGTGAGTTTCACATAATGTACCCTCCATCACATTCACTTCCCTGTCTTTCAAGTCAACCCCCAACCTTTATGAAATGCCCCCCAAAAAAAGAAGAAGAAAAGAACAAAAAAGAAAGAGAAAAACCAAGTCCAATTTGTGTTGCCCACTCACTGGAGCATGGCCAAACTCTCAGTAGGCAGCCTCTTAGAGAAAACTGAGTCCTTCCCCTCCCACACCCCTCCGAGAAGAGTTGTTCTTCAGGATTCTTGCCACATTTTTAAGAGTTCTCTTCAATGGCTTCCTATCTAGTCTCTCTCTCTCTCTCTCTCTCTCTCTCTCTCTCTCTCTCTCTCTCTCTCTCTCTCTCTGTGTGTGTGTGGTGAGGGTGAGGGAGAGAGGTTGTCATAGATGTCTTCTATGTCTCATTCTCAACTGTGAATCTTCAGTCATCAATATCAATGCCACTGCAAAAGAAGCTTCCTTGCCCTTTACAGTCAGTGGTAGCACAGATCATGGACTTCCATTTGGTTTCTGGTGACATAATGGACCACAGACATCAACACGGCCTCAAGCATCAGCATGGACCATGGACTTCAGCCTGCTCTCTGGTGGCAGTACAGAACTCAGATATCAACATGGCCCTTGGCTGCAGCATGGATCATGGGTATCCACAAGAACCTTGGACATTAACACGGCCTGGGGTGACAGCACAGACCACAGATACCAACATGGCCTCTGGGGATAGCATGAACTATGGGGGTCTTTTGAGGAGGCCCAGTTCAGAAAATGAGCCATTCTCTGTCTTGGACATCCTGTTGCTGTTCAGAGCCAGGGTGATCATGCAGCTGGGCAGTGTGTTTGGGTCACAGCCTGAAAGAGCTCCAGGCTGCTGCACACCATCCTGTCTGCCCTACTTGGCAATGACATGTTCCTCCATCCATTGCAGCCTTCTCCCACGCCTGTCACCATCGCATCTCTAGTTCTGCCTCTCTGCATCACACACATGCTGTTCTGTTCCTTCATCTTTCCCTCCTCTCCACTGCACACTGCAGTTGTGATGTTGTAACTGTAGTGTGTCACACAGTATATTTTTTTCGCCCAAACAGCTTTATATACAAGTATTTATTGTACCAAGTCATTGGTCTGGTTCAAGGTTTTTATTTTCTGAAGTACCACAAATACTGTGTCATTGCTGAGACTTGTCTTGGATATCCTGCTGTTGTCCAGAGTCAGGGTGTTGTTGTGGGTAGGCAGGGTGTCCCTGGCAGGTTCTGTGTGAGCTCCTGGGCTTCTGGATACTGCACACCTCCATGCTCTCCATGCGTAGCCACGGTGGCAGGCCCTTCAGTAATGACATGTTTGGGAGGGAGCTCTAGGCCACCACACTCTACCCTGACCTCAGTGCCTACCACCGAGGATCAACAGGCACAGCTGTTAAGCTTGTAGGCCGTAGGCAGCGCTGGTGACCCACACTTTCTGTCTCTCAGCAGGTAAGCAAAGGCTGCAGCCACAGAGGCTCCTTTCTGGGAGCTGGTCAGTGAGCCTAGGATCAGTCCTATTCAGTAATGCCGTGTTCTTTGTCCGCAGTGGCTGCGCTTTCCCATATCACTCCCGTGTCCTTCACTGCTGGCTGCCATCTTCCAATTTCGTGAGTCTGCTTTTTATAAGCATCTTCCCATCAGACCTTCCTGTTCATAGTTGTTCTGGAGAAACTGTGGGCTCTTCTGATTCCTTTCCATTGCTCTGACTCCTCTATGGCAGCTCACAGCTGATGGTGAGGGCAGGAGAGGGCGCAGGCTTGGTGGTGGCATTTCTCATATGTGCACCGAGTCCCACATGGCCACTGCAGGTTGTCAGCTGTGGCCTGATGTGGACTTTCTGCAATAGCTTTAAGAGCAGCAGTGGTGTTTCCAGGGTGAAGGGGGATTGGTGGTGGCCCGAGCTCCCTGGTGGCCAGAGGACTGGCCCGACTAGGTGTCAACATACTCATTTGTCTGCCATAGCCATGCTCCCACACCTGTAGTGCCACCACGCCTATTGTTCCTCTTCTCTCCAGCGCACGCACTGCTCTGTTCTGCCTGCCTAAAATTTTCATTTCTATTTCTATACCTTGACTTTCAGGGAGGAAAAGCACAGTTTTGCCTAAAAAGTATATTATCTTTCTCATGCTGCTAAAGTTACGCAGACGTGGTGACCTAAACAACAGTGATTATTTTGTCCACAGTCCCGAAGGACAGAAGTGCAGGGTCAGGGTGTCAGCTGGTTGGCTTAGTCTAAGGCTGCAACAGAGAACTGATTCTTGGCTTTGCTCCTTCCTGAAGGCTGTTACGCAATCTTTGGTGTTTTGGGCTTGTAGATGTGTTACTCTGGTCTCTGCCTTCATCTTCATATGCTTTCCCTTCATGTGATGTCTGTCTCTGTCCAGATGTCCTTGTTTATAAGCAAAAAAGTGATATTGGAATAGAAGCCACTCTATGAATTCATCTGAATTTGATCATTTGCAAAGACTCTATTTCCAGATAAGGTCATGTTCACTGGAACTAGAGGTTAGGGCATCATCATCTGAGAGGATAAAATTCAATCCATTAACAGTACATAATGTTTGTGAGATAGTATACTTGAAAACTCATTAGTAGTGGTTTTATATATAAGTTTGAAGTTTGTCAAAACATTGGTATAATTATATGGGTGTATGCCAATTGATGAGTCACATATGAATATTTGTTTTTGAGACAGGGCTTGTCCGTTCTTACAAAAACTCTATACACACATAATTAAAAGGAATTTTCCCATTTGAGCTGACAATTTCCCCAGGAGCCGTAGACTAACAAAAAGCCCAACACCAGGTATGAGTGTTGAATTTTTGGCCACTGTTGAATTGTTGGCTTCTTTTGAATTGTTGACCACTGTTGTCCAAAAGACTCCTAAAACATTATAGGCTATTGCTGTTGCCCCTGGTTACCCCCAAAGGCAGAAATAAGCCCCTTTTGCTGAACACATCAAACACTTCAGACACAGGACCAGAGGACCCAAGATGCCTGCAACCTGAAAGTCTCTTCCCTGAGGACTAGCTTGTATGGTATCAGAAAGTGCCACACATACTTCCAAAGGAGGAAAGAAAACAACAGTCCTATCTACACCCAGATATGACATGTATGAACCATAACAGTGACCCGAATTGCATGTTAACACTAAGAGTACAGTAGTAGCATGCACACCTTGTTGATAACCAACAGCTCTCTAATTGGACTTAAGGCCCACTTGACAAGAGAGGAACCCAGCCAACTTTTTAGGGCTAGTGAGGTCATGGGTCTTGGAGGAGAACTTACAACCACCACTTTTCTAAACCAGCACAATCTCTAACTACATTCTAAATATTTGTCCTTATACTCATAGGTAAGTGTAGTTCTAGCCCCACATCAAGGAAACTTGTCTTTGAAACATATGGAGACCATTACAGAAAACCACAAGCAATCAAAATACAGAGTTGTGGAGCTTAGTCTCAATTGATAACATCTACAATGCAACTTTTACATTTAGTATTTTTACTATATCATTAACCAGAAAAGCATGACACATGGCTCAAAGATAGACATTATTAATACTTCCAAATCATCATATAATACTTGTCAATTTCTTGACACATTTTTTTCACTAAAGATTATGTTACACATGGTTTTATAAAATAAGTTAGATTCCATAGTATTCTAAATATATATCTGAACTTAAGATCCATTGGGTCACTAACCCGGTGGTCATTGGTTGTGTCACTGTATTTCATCATTAGGTTGAGCTAACCTTGTCTTGTGTGACGGAGTTCTTGCCACCAGTCTTGTGCCTCCTACGTTCAGGCTGCTGCCAAGGCATTTTCAATGATCACCTTGTTCTCCTGGCTTTTCTCTGTGAGCACAGAGGTCTAGCTTGCTTGTCTATTGGGCACTTCCACAGTCCTTCTCATCCTATCTTCTCCTTTCCCCAAAGGTCCCTGATGTTTCAGAACACTATGTAGTCTTTTCCACTGCCCCAGCTTCTCACCTCTTCCTCCACAGATGACCTTTGTCCTACTTCTTCGTCTTTCCATCCAGTGCTTTCTTAGTATTTGTCTCAAGTGGTATTTCCCTCTGAAGACTTGTAAGCCAGATTTGCTTTCTTTTCATATCTATAGTGTTATGTATAAAACTTATCTTAGAACATATTATAGAATGATATAGAATCCTGTTTTCATTCTTACTAGACTTTAAAAATAGCATGGTTAATTTATTCTTTGAGAATTTAATACCAAATGTATACAATATTTTGATCATATAGACTCTTGTTCAGTGCTCTGCCAGGTATTGAAGAAATTGGAAACCAAGGGGAGAACCATCTTTAGAGTTTGTAGCCTAGAAGAGGACTCCCAATTTGAATGACTTGGAGGATGGTGGAGAGGGACATTATGAATACTTTGTTGATAAAGAGAATATACCTGAAAAACCTTTAAACATGTAATTGTAACTGAACATGTTTTTACAGTGCTTTACAGCTAACAGTTTATTTATTTACAGGTGGCCATGGATTTGCATCACAGGTTGCAACAGATGGTTTCCATAGTTCTCTTGGATGCTCTTCACCTGTGCCTTCAAGAGGAACCCTGGGCTTCATTTATGGTCATTGCTATGTTCTAGTATGACACTCTACTTTTCCACTGAACTCTTCCTGCTCACGCTGAGAAGCTTGGATATGATTTGGCCTTTTGTTTTTTGTAAGTAGCTATACATAGCTAATACATTTTTTCAAAGTATATTTTTTATTGATTTTTAAACTGTATATTTTAAAGTTATGGGTTACCTTAAGAGTCACAGGTGCTACTCTTTTGATCAAAGGCTTGTCTTTCTAAGATTCTCCTCCATGGTTACAGTAGTAAAATACATAGAATATATTCGCTTACAACAAATGACAGCTATTTCAAACTTTTCAGAACATAGAAGTGCAGTACCCTAACGGGACTTTTGACCTCACTTGTACTAATGACAGAGACTTGGCATTGGTTCATCTGATTTTTTCAAAGTTTCTTTTTTGAGACAAATGTTTCACTCATGTCTATGCTGCTACTGTTCTGAAGTTGTATAGTAAGCTCTCTTGTTCACAGAATTCTCAAAGAGTGCTGTGCTTTTAGCACTGTGATTTTGAATTGTATTTGTTAACTGCTTCTTAAGGATTTTTAACAGTTTTCACTTGAATATATTATACTTTTATGTAATATAGAGGTATAACATTAATTTTACTTGTAATGTTTTCAGTAATGTCTTATCCTCTCCCCAACCCTTTTGAAGCAGAGTCAACTAGAAACTAGTAAAATTCCACTTCAAGAATTGGTGGAAGAACTTTATTACACAACTTCTGTATTAAAGAGAATTAAAGTATTTTTTCTTCATGAAAAGTGGGAATATTTTTCAGAATTCTGGGAAATGTCACAGTAATTTTGGCTGTAGTCATTTTGCATTTAATGCTATTGAGAATATTGCTAACATTAACAAAAATATTCTGTAATTTTCCCAGTTATTGCTGCTGGTGATGAGGGATGTGAAGTTGGCATGCATCCATGCTTTGAGCATTACCATTAGACACATCTGATTCTACATGTCAGAAACAGTCTTTTTTAAGGCAGCTGAGAACATTTTCATATGGGGGTAGAGGTTAGGGTTGATTATTCCACATCTGTATCAATGCTATCTTAGAGTATAATAAATGTACCAGAGTAAGCACAACTGTAATTTTTCATGTCTTAGACAAATTTTAAACATTTCTGTGATTTTTTGTTTATTAGAATGTAGTGGTTTAGAAACAAAGGTGACTTTTATTCCATATTAATTATTTTATCTTTTTTTCCGGTGACATTGGCAACATTCATTTTACAGATAATAAGCTATGGTTGAGGAAGGAGCTTTGGCAGTAGAAGTAACCAACTAGCAGGTCCATTGCCACTGTTGAAATCAGCTGGAGACTCATCGCTACTGACGGTGAGTCAGAGCCGAATTCATACATGAGAAATATCATGACTAGCACTCTGTTCAATGAGACACTGTTGGGATGTTGAAGTATGGTACTTCATTAGTTGAGTGTAAACAATAAAAATAAGACTGAAAAAGAAAGAAGTGGGGTCTGGGCAGATGCTTAGTGGTTAAACGAAAACTATTTAGGGCACAAACCTGAGACCTCACAGCAAAGCCAGGTATGGTGATGTGTCTGTAACCACAGTACTAATATTGAATGGGGGTTCACTGGGCAGTGGCTAGTCAAAATGGCGAGCCTCAGGATCACTAAGAGAACTTATCTCAAAAAAATAAGTTGAAGGGATGGCAAAGTGGTTAAGAGCTCTGATTGATCTCCCAGAGGACCCAGGTTCAATTCCCAGTACCCACACAGCAGCCAACAACTGTCTGTAACTCTAGTCCCAGGGGATCTAATGCCTTCCCTGCCCTCTGTGGACACTGCACATACATTGTGCACAGACATATGTTCAGGCAAATACTCAGACACATAAAAATAAGTGAAATTGCAAAAAATTAAAAAAAATTAGATGGAGGGTGATTGAGGCCTGCTATCAACCTTTGGACCTTGCAAAATGGGTTTTACACACACACACATACACACACACACACACACACACACACACACACACACACACACACACGCATGCACGTCCGCGCACGCACAAACACATGCATTTTAAAAAATGTTATTGCTTAAAAGTTTTTTAGATGATTAGTCTCAATATTTTTATTATTAATTTCATTATATTATTTATATCAAGTGCACTATAAATCTTTATACTGTGTCTTAGGGGTTCAATTGCTGTGAAAAGACACCATGACCACAGCAAGGTTTATAAAGGAAAACATTTAATTTCGGTGGCTTATACTTTCAGAGGTTTAGTCTAGTATCTTCATGGAGGGAAATATGGTGGCATGCAGGCAGACATGGTGCTGGAGAAGGAGCTCAGAGTTCTACATCTTGATCAGCAGGCAACAGGAAGTGATTGGTGACACTGAGTATACTTTGAACATAGGAGACCACAAAGCCCACCCCTTAGTGACACCCTTCCTTCAATGAGGCCACACCCACTCCAACAAGGCCACATCTTTTAATAGTGCCACTCTCTTTGGGGGCCATTTTCTTTCAAACCACAGCACATTGGAACTAGATTTGGGGAATATTGTAATACAACAAAAGGTAAATTTAACTTATAAATTTGAGTTTATAATGGCTAGAATAATTCCTTTATGGCTATGGTAATAAAGTATCATTATCTTCTTAGATCTATGCTAATTGTTTCCTGTCCCTTATTATGTTCCCACAGCTGTCATATGGTAGTAACACTTCATTTGAGGTTAGGGATGAGGAGCTATGATGCCAAGATTTTAACTATATAAGATCAGTGGCTGGTACAAGATTCAAACTCTGAACTACTACCCTACAAATTCCTTCTTATAAGTGCTGTATTGAACAGCCCGAAGCTTTTATGTAAACGAAATGGGATGACTTCAGTCCTTAAGCCCAGTCTAGACAGTCAAAATGATTGATTGTAGCATAAAAGTGTGTCTAGCCCAAACTTCTGCTGTTGTGACCTTATTTGGACATAAATTTTGATATTTTTCAGCATACTAGGTACTATATTTAGCATTTTATATTTATACAATCATGTGCATATGTCTCATGAATTCTTTTTTAATATATTATAAAGTAAGTCCTGCTATGTAGTCCAGGCTGCCCTCAAACTCTTTTGTCTCAACCTGTTTACCTCAGAGATTCCAGGCATATACCACCATACCCACCCCACCCTGAATCCTTTTCTTTTTTAAAATTTTCTTTTGTTTTCTTCAGATTATAACATAATTGCATCATTTCTGCCTTCCTCTTTCTCCTTCCAAACCCTCTTGTATAACCCTTCTTCTTCTTTTTCGAATTCATGGCCTCTTTTTCCATTAATTGTTGTTTTACACACACACACACACACACACACACACACACACACACACACACACACGTATATACATTCATATTCTTTTCTGTTTTGATGTTTGTGTTTTGGTTCTTTTTTTGAGACAGGGTTTCTCTGTGTAGCCCTGACTGTCCTGGAACTCACACTGTAGACCAGGCTGATCTTGAACTCACAGAGATTCATCTGTTTCTGCCTCCCATGTGCTGGGATTAAAGGTGTATGTCACCACCAACTGGCCTACATCCATATTCTTAAATACATAAATGCAACCCTCTCAGTCTGTATCATGCCATCGGCATGTATGTTTTCAGAGTTGCCCAGTTGCTATTGGATGAATTGGAGTGCTCTCACTGCAGAAGACTCTTTCTCCTATTCTCTGCATTCTTTAGCTGCCTATAGTTCTTTGCCTAGGGTTGAGGCCCTGTGGTCTTTTTTGTGTCTACTTTAGTATATCTACTGTTGTTCTTATTTGTGTTTAGGTAGTCATGTTGGTGAGATTTTATGTGTGTAGCTTCTGACACCAGTAGGAGATGCAACCTCACAGCAAATTCCCTGATTCTGACTCATACAATCTTTGGGCTCCCTTTTCCACATTGATCCCTGAGTCTTAGGTGGGGGAGTTATTCTGTAGATGTATCTGTTGAGACTGGACTTTACAACGCTGCATCTGATTGGTTGTGATTTTATGTTGTTGTCTCCATCTGTTGAAAAGAGAAGTTTCATTTATGAGAGGTGAGGACTACACTTATCTGTGAATATAATGATAAATGTTTTGAATGTAGTTAGGGATTATGCTGGTTTAGTAAAGTGGCAGTTGTAGGTCTCTCTAAAACACATGACTTCACTAGGTCTGGTAGCTGGCTAGGTTTCCTGTACCAGGCATGACTTACCTCTTGTTGAGTGGCTCTTAAGTCCAGTTAGAGAGCTGTTGGTTACCAACAAGGTATGCCTGCCACTGCTGCACCCTTCGGGTTATCGTACCATGATGATTATTTTTGTGGTTCCTAGGCATCATAACTAGTTATGGGTAGGACTATTGATTTCATGTCAGTTTCTGGCTGGAATTCTTTAAATAGAACCTTAATGGTACTCCCTTGGTATATTTAAGAGTGTCTTAAATATTTACTGTACTCTTCAAGTAGTAGAACTGGTAGTTAATTCTCAAGTTTTCTAGAGACTGACATTAGGATTATGGGATATACATTTAAATATGAGACAGGCCATCTACAATAGTAGTTAATTGGTCATCTAGCAGGTACATCATGAAATATGAAATGTTTGACCATTGTCTTAGTTTGGATTACTATTGTTATGATAAAACACCATGATCAAAAGCAACTGGGGAAGAAAAGTTTTCTTTGGCTTACACTTCCACTTTGTGGATTCTAATAGTCTATCACTGAAGAAACTCAGGACAGAACCTCAAATAGGGTCTTAACTTGGAGGCAGGAGTTGATGCTGAGGCCGTGGAGGAGTGCTGCTTACTGGCTTGCTCCCCATGGCTTTCTCAACTTCTTTTCTTACAGAACCCAGGGTCACCACCAGCCCAGGGATGGCCATACCCACAATGGTCTGGGTCCTCCCACATCAATCACTAATTAAGAAAATGCTCTACAGGTTTGTCTACCGTCCAATCTTTTTTTTTTTTTTTAGGTTGATTTGTTTATTTAATTTTGTTTTCATTTTATATACCACCCACTGTTCCCTTTCTCTCCCCTTCTCCCACTCCCCCGCACCTCCCCATCCCACCCTCGCCCACTCCTCATAGGAGTTAAAGTCTCCCTTGGGTAGTCAACACAGGCTGGCATACCAAGTTGGGGCAGGCCCAACCCCCTCCCCGCTGCATCAAGGTTGAGTAAGGCATGGAACCCTAGGGAATGGGCTCTAAAAAAGCCAGTTCATGTACTCTGGATGAGTCCTGGTCCAATTGCCAGGGGACTCACAAACAGATCAAGCCACACATCTGTCACCCTCATTCAAGGGGCCTAGTGTGGTCCCATGCAGGCTCCCCAGCTGTCAGTCCAGAGTCCATGGGCTCCCACTAGATTGGGTCAGTTGTCTCTGGTTTTTCCCATCATGATCTTGTCCCTCCTTGCTCCTATGATCCCTCCTCCCTCTCTTCAACTGAATGAACTCCAGGAGCTTGGCCAAGTGCTTGGCTGTGGGTCTCTGCATCTGCTCACATCAGTTGCTGGATGTAGGTTCGATGATGACACTTAGGAGAGTCACTGATCTGATTACAGGGGAAGGCTAGTTCAGGCACCCTCTCCACCATTGCTATGAGTCTTAGCTGGGGACATCCTTGTGGGTTCCTGGGGATTTCCCTAGCACCAGATTTCTCCCTAACCCCTTAATGGCTCATTCTGTCAAGATATGTCTTTCATTGTTTACCCACTTGTCCCTCCCTGAACTCGGCCATCTTGAACCCTCATGTTCCTACTCCCCATACCCTCCCCTCTCCTCCCCCTCCCAGTTTACCCAGGAGATCTTAACCCTTTCCTCTTCATGGGGTGATTCATGTGTGTTCCTCTCAGGGTCCTCCTCTTTACTTAGCTTCTCAGGGGTTGTGGGTTGTAGACTGGCTATCCTTTGTTTTGTGTCTAATATTCACTTATGATGAGTGAGTACATACCATGTTTGTCTTTCTGGGTCTGAGTTATCTCACTCAGGATGATTTTTTTCTAGTTCCATCCATTTGCCTACAAATTACATGATGTCATTGTTTTTTTCTGCTGAGTAGTACTTGTTTATATGTGCCACATTTTCTTTATTCATTCTTCAGTTGAGGGGCATCTAGGTTGTTTCCAGGTTCTGGCTATTACAAATAGTGCTGCTATGAACACAGTTGAGCAAATGTCCTTGTGGTGTGGTTGAGCGTCTTATGGGTATATGCCCAAGAGTGGTATTGCTGGGTCTTGAGGTAGGTTGATTCCCAATTTTCTGAGATACCACCATACTGATTTCCAGAATGGCTGTACAAATTTTCACTCTCCCCAGCAATGGAAGAATTTTCCCTGT